AAGTATAGGGAATTTAACACTATATTTAACCCTATAACTTTCCAAGACAACATAAAACCTGGGCTACCATACGCTCTCAAAGACAACATAACCAATCTGGCAAATTTCAATGTGAAAAAATGGAAAATCAAGCCTTATATTTGACCCTGTGACTTTCAAAAACACTATAAAACCTGTACATGGGGTGTATTGTTTTACTCAGGAGACTTCGCTGAACACAAATATTAGTGTTTCAAAACAGTAAAATGTATTATAACGATGATATTGTCAGTGAAAGTGACTTTTTTGCATTTTTCACACACAAACAGCACTTACACTGATGATATTATTGCTGTGATACTTTTTTACTGTTTTGAAACACAAATATTTGTGTTCAGTGAAGTCTCCCGAGTATAACAGTACCTCTTGCGTTTCAGTTTTTTCACATTGAAATTCGCCAGATTGGTTACGTTGCCTTTGAGACCGTATGGTAGCCCAGGAATGAGAATTACCCCCATGATGGCATACCATTTGCAATAGTAGACAACCCAAGGTATTGCAAATTGGGTATGTCCAGTCTTTTTAGTAGCCACTTAGTCACAAACACTGGCCAAAATTGGCCTTCAAATTAGTTTTTTGCATTTTTCACACACAAACAAACATTAACACTAACTTTGGCTAGTGTTTGTGACCAAGTGGCTACTAAAAAAGACTGGACATACCCCATTTGCAATACATTGGGTTGCTACTGTTGCAAATTATATGCCATCATGGTAGAACTAAAATAAATTTCAAAAATCTTAATTTCTCACATTTTTTTTACATTTTATTCATATTAAATTATGTTTCATAGCTAAATGTTTGATGGTGAAAGCCCTGTTTCACCTGAATAAAATTATATATATGAGTACATTTAATATGAAAAAGGTGAATTACGGTTGGACAGACATATGGCGCAAATGCCAGGTTTTGTTTACGTTTTGTTTTGCTCACAACATGTACATTTGGCTCAGTCCTTAAGGGGTTAATAAGTGGTTCTACATTGAAGAATATTGGTAAATATTTTGCTATCGATGTGTGATTCCCGAAGATGATATGACCTAGTTAGTATATACTATTTACGGGGGCATTACATAGAGATCAGAAACTGTGCTGGCATGTCTGTGCAAATAAAGTTAGATCTGTTTCTCATCAGCGTTTGGCATCAGTATAAAAAAGTAATATTATTTGCCCCGCCCCCCCTCAAATGTGTAAGTAAAGTATGTGAGTGGAAATCTCCAAGGCATATTTCCAGGGACTTGACTATGTTGTTAATTATGTTTTATGCTGCTCATCCACTGTTACCATGCCAACATAGAGAGAATTGTCTCACCCGAATTGTAAGAAGTAATTACTTCACATTCCAATCAAATGTAATGCCCTATGTAGCAGGCGGGTGCACATTTCTTATAGATTTAGTGTACTTATTTCTAAGATGTTTTATGAAAATTGTATATTATTTAAATTGCAAGAGTGCACGACTATTGAGCAATGGAAACTGGAATTGGTTGTTAAAGAAAGAAAATATGACCCATAGCAAATATGAGAAAAGTCAAATTGCAATTATATTAATATCCTAATAGTCAACTCAAGTCAAAGAATCACATATGTAGGGAATTTCCTAATTTTTTTACACAATTTTGAAAACACATGAATGATGTTAGGCAAATTCAGAATTGTTTAAATGTTTACCAAAATATTGGTTGAACATTTGATTTACTGTATGAGGTCAATTGTAGTCATTTATCGGTCTCTATAATTGAGAATTTAATTTTTTTAACGTACACAGTAAAAAGCAGAATACAATTCAAAATTAAAATTTATTGTGTCGTGTATTTTTTTGTAAAGAATACATGATTATATTTTAATGTCATATTATCTGTCGTCATTTAATGGAGATGTCAGTAGCCTTCTAGGTTTTAACAGTGGTTCTCATTATTGGTGTACATAATGCCACTAATGCTAAATTAATATGCCTTACAGATGAAAAGTATCACCCTCCCAAAAGTCACTTGATGGTGGCTTCACAACTTAATTACAAAAATGATAAGCATTACCCTGATGCACACCCAATGAAATGTTGATGAACTGAGTATAAATCAGAGAACTACCCAGGTTTTTTTGTGTATTTGAACCTACCTTAATATCTACCTTTTGTCTCCCCAGATATGTCTCTCACACTCCCATGCGTCCTCCTTATGTGTCCCTTAACTCCCTTATGTGTATCTGAATCTCTTTCACATCCTTGCATCTATAAACTCCATATTTACCCCTTGTGTATCTCTGAACCCACCCTTTTGTGTTTCTGAATCCTCATATTTATTGTGTGTCTCTTAAAAAACTCTTGTGCAACGCCTTGTGTGTCTTTTTACCCCCTTATGTGTCTCTTACCCCATTGTGTCTCTTAACCCCTCATCCCCTGTGCATCACTAAACCCTCTTTTTTGTCTGTATCCCTTTATGTGTATCTTAACCACCTATCCTTGTCCTAAACCTTATTCCAACTGTAGCATAGTCACACAAGACCACAGTTGAAGATCTTCATGATAGAAAGTTAAAATCAGTATGCAGAGAGTCATCAGATAATGTAATATACTGTTCAGCCCCTGCCCCCTTTATTCTGTCAGGCGAGGCAAAGGAACATGCCAATCCTCTGTTACTGCCCCGTGTGGCCACGCTACAGTGGGTGATAGGTAACTTGGAGGTGCATAGAAGACAGTGGGCATACTGACATGTTTGTATGCTAATGGTATAAATCATCATTTTTTGTAGGATACATTAACTAAGTTAGATTAAACAAATAACATATTGCAATAGTTTTAACTTAAGTAAAAAGAAGAGAAATATTAGAGTAAAATCTAAAAAATATTGAACTACAGAGCATTTGAAAAAGTCAGTCTTCACTGCCAAAATGAGTAAGCTAATTTAGTCATATCCCGAGAGTTTAATACAGACATTGGATCACCAAGATGAAATTAAATTCTACTTTCTCTGTGGAGAACTTCTCTTGTAAAACTTCAAATATCTGGAAACATTCCATTCTGAGTGGGCATTGTTCAGTGCTTACCCTAAACGGCATTTACACAATAACTGATTCCAGTGGTCCCGATGCCAATTAGGAACACAAGAAATGGAAAGTGCTAGCCTGACATTTGAATTATACACAAAATAGAATTATTATGCAAGTTGCCATACTTAAGATGCTGGATAAAACATCTAATTTAGACACAAATCATAGGATTCAACATTTATGTTTGTGCATATGATGGTTGTCCACATCAACATGTCAAAGTACACATCTTTCAATCTTTAATGTTAACATTAAAGCAAACTCCTTTGCTGATAACTTTTGTTGTGAATCTTTAATTTTATCTATCTATCTATCTATCTATCTATCTGTAACAGATCACCTGGCATCCAGACTGGGTACCTCCATTGAAGGATGATCCTAGCACTACCTGAGGGCTCCAAGGACTCCACCGCAGACCCCACGAACCACCACAGCTTGGTTGGGGTCTCGCGTCTCCTACGACAAGGCTCCATGTTCCAGTGGGTAATCCTCTCTTTCCCCAGAGAGTGAAGCAGGAACAAGCTCTTAATAGAGCTTAGTGATTATCCAAGGGAGTATGAACAGCATAGCAATCCCTTGTAGCTGTTTTCCCCAAAAAGAGACAGGACTCTCAATTAAGGGTGAAGTAGAACTGGTTTAATGAGCACAACAGCATTTCTTATATACAGTTTTCCCCACAAGGTTACCACCCACATGGACCTTGTGGCGCACAGGACACAAAGTCACAAAAGCCAATCAAAACCATATTGTATAATTAGACACTCCCAGATACTGTACACAAACCCTCCCCTCTGCCTGTGACACAATTAACAAACACAATAGACTAACTCAATTACCACAGGCTGAAAATATCCATTTTTACCCAAAGTCCAGAAACACCCCAAAACACAAACATATCCCTGGATAGTCACAAAAGCCAATCAAAACCATATTGTATAATTAGACACTCCCAGATACTGTACACAAACCCTCCCCTTTGCCTGTGATACAATTAACAAACACAATGGACTAACTCAATTACCACAGGCTAAAAATATCAATTTTTACCCGAAGTCCAGAAACACCCCAAAACACAAACATATCCCTGGATAGCCCTGATCTGGATGAACAACATATCCAAGTTTTATGGAAGTCACATTTGACCGACCGCAAGCATGGCTTTCATGCCCAAAACAGTTCCACAGATTTAGACTGCGCGGCCGATCTATCTTCTCCTCTATCCTGGAGATAATTGGTTTAAGTGGCTGTGGTAACTTAATTATCTCCAGGTACAGGAAATATCTCTAAGTCAGAAACTGTTACAAAAACCACATAAAAATACATAAATATTATAATACAATGTTTAACCTATATGTCCAACATATACCCATATAGCTTGGATCTGAGAGCTCAATATGTCCAATGTTAAAAGTGCCCTATAGTACAAGGAAGGGTGGGGTCAGAAAATAGCAAGGGCTGATGGGAGATTGAGGAGAAACAAAGTAGCCAGTTTAAACTGGTCTGGCAGTGTCCCTGGGATAACGCCCTGCTGGAGAAACAATAAGACAGGGAAAAAGGGGGAGGGGATTTAAAGGGGCAGAAAAAGTGATTTAAAAGCCAATATGCCCAAATAGAGTGCTTAAACGACAATACACCCCAGGGGCCATAGTCACAGGCCAAGAGGCTGGCAAGCAGGCCTCTCCAAATTCTCATGACAAACTCCCTTAAAAAGGGGAGTTTGTCACACCATCTATCTATCTGTCTATCTATCTATCTCTCTCTTTACCCACCCACCCCTTAACTCTATCTCTCTATCGATGTCTTTTTATCCATCCATCCACCCGTCTATCCATCTGTCCATCCCTTCATCTGTTTGTGTTTGCTGCATGTATATGGTGCAAAATAATGGTTCTCCTGTCCAGAAATGTTTTTCATCCTTCAAAAGCAAAGAGTTGTATCCAGTGATGAAATTTCCTCTGAGGAAAGCACAAACAAGAAGGGATCAGATGAAGAGATAGCCAGCACTCCTCCAAGCTCCAATGAATCTGGTTCAGATTAAGGGCCCACAGAGGACATGGTGTCACGAATCATTCTTACAAATCAGTGTTGTGATGTTGGGACAGCATTGAAGTGTTTATTAAATATGGGAAGATTTGTACATTTCTATGTGTAATTGAAGCTAGTACCTGCTTATGACTTTTTTTTTCTCCTTTTGTAATAAAATTTCTAGGTTTAAAAAAAAATAAAAAATAAAATGTTTTCATAGTCTTTTGTTACAACATGCTCCCATTCTGTGTATCTATTTAGCACTTTTAAATTGACAGCATTATGATTTTACAGATCATAAACTATTTATTGTCCTAAAATGTTTCAAAAGTAATGAGTACGATTTCATGATCAAGCAATGGAAAACATGAAAAGCTATTTAAATAATTAGCCATGCAATTTTGAAAGAGATAAACCTTGGATGTATGAGGATATGTCTATATTGCTGGGAGGATACTGTTTGAAGGGAAAATGCAAAAAAGGTTCCATTATTTGACATTATTTTCAATATATAGTAGTTAACTATAACCTATGGGTTCATAAATTATACAGTGAACGGAAAAGAAAATGATCTGCCTAATTGAAACCAAAATATTCAACTTGTGAATATAAGTGAGTTTGACCATTTTTTACAGCAGGGGTGTTTTGCTTTTTATTTTGCAAATTCACAGCTCAATTTTCATCGGTAAACTATTTCCATGTAATTTCTGCACTTTGCATTAAATATTTACTTCATGTGGCAGTATTTCAAATAGTTCTCAGAATTTAAGGGGTTCATGCAAAAATCCATGTTATTAAAATGTATTTTTAGACACAGCACATTGTGTGCACAAGTGTAGATTGTAATAAAGTATTTTAAGAATATATGCTGCTCACCCCAACAACACGTCAGCTAACCCTCCAAAAAACAGTTTTTCCTATTACAGGACCACCAATCTATAAAATGAGCTAGGTTATGTTACTTAGAGTCAGGGAAGGGTTACAACCTCAGCACTTGCTCTGCACCCAGATGACATCCCCTGTACTTAGCCCAGGACCCACATGGCATGCCCAACACTTACAGGACCCATATGACATGACTTGCACTTACCCCAGAACCCAGATGGCAATCCCTGCACTTACCCCAGCATCCAGATGACATCCCATGCATTTAACCCAGGACCCAGATGACATACCCTGGACTTCCCCCAGGACCTCCATGGTGTCTAGTGGGAGGCAGACATCCTGTCCGTCTGCTTCTCGCACTCTCTGCTGGTTTGGTGACTCTAGGCATGTTTCACATGACTTGCAACGTCTGACTTCTCAAGACACACTGGACACCCGAGAAACTGCACTACCTGCCCCCCTCTGCCGGTATATTTCTAATGTCGGCACCCAGTGGTGGCTCTAGACTTTGTGAGGCCATGGGTGAAACTCAAACATGAGGCCCTCACTAACGCCTATAAAAAGATAAATAGGGGTTGCATTGTGTGTTTATAAGGAGCTGTAGTTATATTAAAGGGTGGGTTTTCAGCATTGGATACAGAGAGCTAGTCTCTGTCTTCATTGCTCAGAGACTTGCAGTCACGGACAGATTAAGAGCCCAGTGGGCCTGGTGCTGACAATTATGATGGGCCTAATTACAAAATCTTATTGACTAAACACTAAAACAGTCCTACCTCCTAAGCGTCATGTATCTGATGGAGATGGTGCTGGAGGGAAACTTATAGGATGCAGCTATGAGAAAACACATACCCTATGCTAATCTCACACTTTCATCTTTCAAGTAAACTTGTGCCATACCATACCCCCTAACAGCAGTGTCCAGTAAAGCAGGAAGTCTATGGATGGGGTAAAAGGGTGGGCCACTGACACAAATCACATAACCAGAACTGCCGAAAGGGGCGGACATACACAAAAAGGGGCATGTCTGTGTCCCCATGTCTCCCAGTCCCTTGGTGTCTGTGTCCCCATTTCTCCCAGTGTCCCCATGTCACTTGGACACTAGGGGACATTGAGAGACATTGGGACACTGGGAGACATGGGGACACCGAGATACTAGGGAACACTGGGAGACCTAGGGACACTGAGACTCTTGGGGACACTGGGAGACATGGGGACACTGGGTGACTTTGAAACATGAGGGGACACTGGGAGACATGGGGCACTGAGACACTATGATACATAGGGGACACTGGAGACTTGATAAAGACTTGGCTACAGGTCAAAACATTGCACTGTCCAATAAACCTGCTTAAATCTCTCACAGTGAGTGTCTGAGATTTTTTTTTATACTAGGGGACACTGAGGCACTTGGGGGCACTGTGAGAAATGGGGACACTGGGAGACTATGGGATTCTGAGAGAGTAGGGGACACTGAGACACTAGGGGACACTGAGACTCCCCACTGGGAGACACCAGGGACACTGGGAGACATGGGGTACTGAGACACTCTGATATATAGGGGACACTGGAGACGTGATAAAGACCTGGGTACAGGTCGAAACGTTGCGGTGTCCAATAAATCTGTTTAAATCTATCACAGTGAGTGCCTGAGATTTTTTCTTTTATACTAGGAGACACTGAGACACTAGGAGACATTGGGACACTGGGAGATATTGGGACACTGAGACACTGGGAGACTAGGGGACTTTGGGAGACTAGGAAATACTGAGACACTAGGGACAGTGGCATACTAGGTACACTGGCTGGGAGATATGGGGACACTGGGAGTGCCCCATATCTCCCAAGTCTCAATGTCGCCCAGTGTCCCCATGTCTCTCAGTGTCCCCTAGTGTCTCAGTGTCCCCATGTTGCCCAGTGTCCCCTAGTGTTTGTATCCCCATGTCTCCCAGTGCCCCTTAGAGTCTGTGTCCCCATGTCTCCTAGTGTCCCGAAGTCACTATGGGATACTTAGAGACATTGGGACACAGTGAGATTTGGGGACACTGAGGTACATGGGGACACTGTGAGACAAGGGCACTCTGGGAGACTAGGGACACAGACACTAGGGACACTGAGAGACACCAGCACACTGGGAGACACTGAGACACTAGGGACACTGGCTGGGAGACATGGGGACACTGAGAGACATGGGGCCACTGTGTCCCTAGTGTCTCTAGGGGCTTGGGGACCCCTAGTCACCTTTGATGGGGGGATTTGTCTTAGGGCCCCACCCACCGCCCATTATATTTATGGCCCCCACCCACCGCTCAAGAGGGGGCCGGGGTGGCAGGAAAGTAGGTCTCCCCATTGTAATTTATGGCCCCCACCCACCGCTCAAGGGTGGGGACCAGGGGGGAGGACAGTAGGTCCCCCCATTGTAATTTATGGCCCCCACCCACCGTGCAGGTGAGGGGGCCGGGCGGAGGACAGTAGGTCCTCCCCCCTCATTATCTGTATGGCCCCCTGCCCACCGCACAGGGGTGGGGGTCGGGGGGGAGGACAATAGGTCCCCCCTATTGTTATTTAGGGCCCCCAACTGCCGCACAGGGGTGGGGGCCGGATAGTAGTTGTTGTTTTTTACAGTTAGCAGCCACAGGCTGCTCACTGTTTAGTAGATATGCCCCTACTCGCAGTATAGCGAGTAGGGGCATTTGGGAGATTTTAATCTCCCTTATGCTATTATGGGGGTCATATTGAGTGAGGGAGGACATGGGGGGCTTAGGAAGTGGCAGGGAGCACAGCTCCCTCCCGCTTCTATCTTTACATATTACAAGGAGGGAACTGCGTGCCGGTAGCTCCCTCCTTGTAATAAACTAAACGAGCAAACGAACACTGATACACAGTGTTTGTTTGTTCATCTGACAATGCGATTCATTCATTCAGCTTTCTGACGAATGAATGAATAGATGAAATTCCCATTCGCATGTCCAAGTGTTTCACTGGGCATGTGCAGGAATCTCAGTGCTATATGATGTGTCCCACAGGGACTTCCTCTACCCACAAAAAGATGGCGGTGCCCTGAATATAGATCAGGGCAGAAAATAAAGAATAAAAATAGGTAATATGGGGGGCTTAGGGATATTTGGGGGTGAATAGGGGGTCAGTTAGATGTAGTGGAGTCGAGAGGGGGGATAAAAAAAAAAAAACGGGATTCGGCCATGACAGTGCCGCTTTAATTCTTGGATGCGTTGGATTGTCTCTACTTTCCAGTAATTTGGCTGCTGTGATTATATGTTGTGTTATCATTATTTTTTTGGTCATTTTTGGCCAGTGCAACTTTAGCAGAACCACTTCTGGCCTGAAAGCTAATTTTGTGTTTGTTATTTTATATTTAGCCTCAACTACGACTTTTCAAAATTTATTTATAGATTTACACTGCCACCAACTGTAGATTACATTGCCTTCATTTATGTTACATTTCCAGCATCTATCTGATTACTCTGGGAAGATTTTCGTCAATCATTTCAGTGTTACATACCATCTGTTTGAAAGCTTGAATTGGGTTTCTGTAAGAATTAGGCAATGTACGTGTTTATTTAGTCAATTGAGAGAGCTTATCCACTCTTCTTCTATGTGTATTTATAGTTCTTTTTCCCAGTTGTTAATTAATTCTGTTGGTTTATCATGTCTCCATCTGTACATAACCGTGGCACATTTTGCCATTAGGTTTCTATAGTTCTATTCAAATAGATGTTTGAGAATTTTAATTTTTACCCTTCTTTTTGGAGGAGATACTTTGTTAAGAAACCCTTAATTCGTAAATAGTTAAAAAAATGTCTTTGTGGGGGATTTTTAATTCTTCCACAATTTGGTTAGAGGTTTTGATTTTTTGTTCCATTATTATGTTTTTAAATTCCCTTATCCCACCGATTTTCCAGGTATCTACTTTTATGTTATCCAACATGCCTGTAATGCTATAGAAAGGAAGCGCATCTATTATAGTATTTCTCGGTTCTGTATTATTTGTGAGTTTGTCCCATCAACTCGTTTATTCTTTTGTTATCTGGGATTTAGTTTGTGCCTCTCTGTGATAGATATTTTATTTATATCTAGTATCCAAAATAGTGACTTTAGATTTTCTACCCCAGTCTTAGCTTTTTCCATTTTATACCATGTTTCTTGGATTGCATCAATATTTTGCGATAATATAATGTGGAAAAGTCTACTGGCCTGATAGCATTGTGTAATTTCTGGACAGCCCGAACCTCCATCCTGCCTTGAT